TGCACAACAACATGAAAGGGAAGAAGAAAAATATTCCATTTTTTAATCTAATTATGTGTTTCAATCTTCAGGATTGCTTTGAATCGACAGGAAATATCGCCGCTTACCCGCAGCGACCTTAAAATCTAGTCAAAGATGTATGGTCGTGACACGTGACCTTGTGAAAGTTTGAGGCATAGATTCCTTTGTGCAAGATATTTGACAGCGACCTTTGTCTTCAAAATTATGTAATGAATGAAATGCGGCGTTCGAGAAGCAATCTTTTAAATTTTGTAGAACACATTAAACAGTCATTTCGGGGGGTCATTTTAACCCGCCAAATTTAGCGGGTCAAATTAATTGGTGTACAGGTGACGTAACGTCAATTTTCCCGCTAAATTTCGCGGGGAACTGAATTAGTGTTTAGTCAACGTTACTGAAGTTTGCCCGCTATATTTAGAGGGAAATGCCCGGGCGAACGCACGGACAGTCAGAAAATTTGAGAATTGCGGATTTCGTTAAAAACCATTTCGTGCTATAAAATGATACTCCAATATCTTTAATCTCCAACGTTGGGCGACGACTCAAACAATCGTGTGAGTGGGAGTTCTGTCTATAGACACGTCAATCAGAAGACGCCATCATCCGCATTCCACTGCGGCTCATAAATTACGTCAAACACAACAATGCTAAAATACGTCAAAAATTTTGATCCACGCAGAATCAGCTGACGTGTGTGTTTACGCACGGTACTCGTAAACAGCAGAAGCGTTAGCATGTACCAGGCGCCGTGCCTTCGATCTCCAGCTGCCGTGCGCTAGTGAATATTGGACACGGCTGCACTGGGTTCAATACCCGCACGTGTCGGCGTATCGGCGTGCCGTCGCGTACCACGACAGCGTGAGGCATCTTAAAAACATGTCTATACTCTATTTCACCTTACGGTGCACCGATGAGCTCGCGCTTCTAGCCTTTGCTGCGGAGTATATCACGGGTACCGCACTGGGTAGATTTTCATCTCCAGCGGGGACACCTGCGGGGCCGGCTTGCGATACTGCGTTTCAGCTTAAATCAAGATGCAGCCGATGAGACAAAGGCGAGCGTGTGGTCCTGAGCAGCGCTTGCACTGCACGAGCGCGAGTGCTTGGCAGAGACGCTGAAAGCCCGGAGCTCGCTCTTGTAGCATCCGCTGCGCTCACACTGAAGGAGACATTGAAATGAATAAAGAAAAAAAATTTTCTTTAGGGGGCATAGATAAAACAATTATACATTCTTCTGCATTAAAAAAAAAAAAAACAGCAAAAGACGATACCCTGCAATATTTACGTTGTTAGACGATATTTCGGTGCAGGACAGGACACGACACGTGCGCACAGATCACTGGCCCCGCCCATTACTACTTGACAGAGTGTCGAACCGAAATTTTTATCGGTTCGGTTTCGGTTAGGGGTTCACGGCTTTCGGTTCGGTTCCGGTTCAGTTTTTGGGAGCGAAAATGAGGTTCGAACCGGTTTAACTGGTTCGTACCGGTTCGAATCGCTAAATTGAGAATATATATTTTGCGTACTTTTGGCAATAGGCACAATTTCTAAAGTGAAACGGTAACTATATTGCTTTTTATTGTTCGTAGAATCCACTTTTAATTCCAAGGACCAAAAATAAATTGCGGTATTTAATATCAATGAAACGGTGAAATAAAATCTAGATTACCTGATATGGCTCAACATCTTCTTTTATTTTCGTTGCCTCAGTCGTATATATTTTATTTGATCCGAAAAATTATCAGTTTAATAGGTCGCCTAATATACCCATGATTGTTACACCTTCACGTCACACAATTAAAAGTCGAATCCTGTTGTGCACTTGAACTTAGGAATTAATTACAGTGCATAAGGTCATGAAATGGACACGTCCTCGCCACTTATATTCTGAAATCTAGTTTGCAAAATACGTTTCACAATATATATGATGACGACGCGACTGAGCTAGAAGCTATAATATTTTCGAAGTGTTAGGAAAGCTATAGAACAAACCCTTTCAGTGTACTTTCTACAGAAACACTGAGCGGCAATAACAACGCTTGCTTTTCTGGTCAATATTGGTTGCAATCAGCACCGTGATGTAGGCGAATACTTCTGCAGAAAAGAGTGACCTTCGTACTCAGATCGGATCTGACCTAAAATGGCGCGTATCGAAATGAACATTTTCGACATAGCTTGGCGTTTGAGGTTTGTTCTTGACAAGGTGTCGGGTCAGTTCAATTTGCAAATAAGCATGACAATTATTTTTTTGTTAAATCGAGCAATACTTGACATTGCAGCTACTTAACTGCTCACTCTTTGACGACCTGCGTCCGCAATCGTCGTATTTTTGCCACGCGCCACTGTGTACTTTGTTTTCGTCCAGCCCACAGACACTAAAAGTTGTTTTCTATCACATAATAGAGGCAACGTACTTCTTTATGTTTCGGAAGTTCAATATGCCTCAGGAACTCTCAGATCACTTATAGACGTGCCTATCGAGGATAAAAACGTCGGTAAAGATTCGGGGGTGCATTTACGTACGATCTAAATCTTTAGGGTGATCGGTCCCTTATTTAGGTTGTCAAGTATTCAGGCAGTATTAAAATATTTTTTCTTGACATTAATAAATTTGACTGTACGAAGTTCAGATCCTCCCGTATCGCGTATTGTTCTCCCGTGTCGCTTGAGACCGACACGGGAAGACGACACTCGAAAATACGCCATCTGTTGGGTGGGCGGAAACGTGTTTTTTTTCGCTGTTTGACAGTATTAAAACACCGGGTCGCCGGGTGTGCCAGGAAGGACTGTGTGCTCACTTTATAAACCTGAAAGAAAATACACAAAATCGGCAGGAAAAGAGATAAGAAATGGTATTCTTCTAAAAACTTATCCGATACACGAAGCCTTACTGTAAAAAAAAAAAATATATATATATATATATATATTTGAGATGCATGTTCTAAACGTAAGTACGTTTGACGGAACTCCGCCTGGTTGGGTCAAAAATTCAAGAAACACAGACCTTCACCAACCATGTCCTAAACATTTAGGAGCCCCCCAGCCCCCCCCCCCCCCCCCCCCCCCCCCCCATCTCATGGTCTACAAGATGTCGATTCATTACTAGCTCGCCCGCACTCCATCACTGCTTACATGTCATTTCAATAGGTCCAGCTCAAGAAGTCGACAGGCACTGAAACACCGGTGTATGTCAACGGACTAGGGCACTTGAAGAAGAGAAAATGAGTGAAGCAAACCACACACCGTAGATGGAAAAACAACCTGCTGCTCTCCACGTGAAAAGAGTTGACCCTGATGAAAAAAAAAACGAATCGATTTTGCAATGTCGAGCTCCTAACTCTTTAGGACATGGCTGGTTATGGTCCGTATTTCTCTAATAGAGATGCGTTCATTGATGTTCCTAATTAGACATAAATAGCGCGAAGGAGAGACAATATACTTCTAATTTTTATTACTTTAGGACATGGGCTTGCACGAGCTCGAAACTTTGCAGAATACTGTCTCGGGTGGCTAAAGTCATATTCAATTTTACGTGCGCTTGTTCTAGGGCCTCAATTTACAACTCTGTGCTTCATCAGTCATGCGCGCTCTAACAATTTATTGGGCTGCCGCATATCACCGCGAGACAGCTATATATACTGCACAACTGTAGAATTTGAAAATCCAATTTGTCTCTGCTTCATTTCAGCTTAAAGGCGCAGTGCAGCGATATTCAATTGGAATGTTTTTCACTTTACACGAGCTTACTGGCACTAGTGGGAGACAAGGATACACTCACGAAACGCCAATGGGCAAGAAACTCCTTTGTTGCGGTGTAATTACAAGGACCAAAGCAGGCGGTCTCATTCAATATCTCCTTCCCAAAAATTGATGACGTAGCTGGGCGGTCGCAGTACCACCCATTGACATTACTTGAATGCAGCTCACAGATTGGACCCGGGCAATGCGTGGGCCCTCGATTTGGGCTCGTGATAGTCGATACCTCGAGAACACTGAGAATGAAAACGGTCAGGAGCCCTTTTTAGAAAGGGTCTTTGCTAGTTTCCACGGTGTACAAAAATCACAGTCCACACGTGCTTAACTACAGCTCAGCCAGCCCTCGCTCGCGAATAGACTGATCTCACCAGCCAGACTGATTACGCCGCCGCTGCCGCAATGCGTGAGGGAAATTTTGTCTTTCTGCACGTCGACAACCTTGCTGGAGCTCTGCGCAAGTAGAGCATGAGACGGCACGTGCGTTTTCGTGCACTGCTGCCTGTCGCACAGTTGTGCGTGCATAACACTCAAACACAGCAGGGAACGCGCCCTCACACATTTTTATGGAAAGGTTTATATTAGCAGACCGCACGCAGACGAAATCCGTTGGCAGCAAAAGCGCCGTCGCCATGCAAGCGTTTTTTTTTTTTTTTTTGCTATGTTTTGCTTTTACTGGCAGCGCGTATTTTACAATTGAAGGTGCATTACAGAAAGATTATGTTCATTTTAATAAACCATGGTTGTCGCGAGAAGTCTCGATTCTGGTCTCAATTGACTTGATAAGGAGGTAGGGCCATCTACCAATACGAACGCCAAACACGCCCCGGAACACAATGTGGTCGTCTGCGTCGCCGCCCGCCGTTGGCTTTGGCAAGTTTCTTGGCTTTTCAGTTTTACAAGAAAAAACGACATGGTGAAATAAACTTTAGATTACTATGTGCAGGCGTCGATTTTTACGCTCCGTTTTAAACTGAGCCTGGTGACTTGAGGTACCCTACATATAGTCACTGACGGCTTAAGAAACACCGGGCGTCACTGATAACATTCACTCTTCTCGCTTTGTGATGCATTATTGGGCTCTGTTTTCAGCAAATTCCGAGATCTAATTGGTTTCGGAGCAATAATAAAACTGTTGGGTCCTGTCACGCGCTGCGTTGTTTAGGACGTCAGTGTCCACAGTTAACCATGTCGTATCTGCTTTCCTTGTTTCTGATAATAATCGCCCCACGATAGTGCAAGGTAGGCTGTGATAAAAAGTAGATAATTGGCTTGACCTGGGGTACGTCCACGGCATAGGTAACTGTTTTTTCTTAATTAATATCCTCCGGTTAATTTTGAGTTTATTCGAAGGACGGTGTACGGCAAAGTGGAACTTTGTCGTTTCTGTTGCTTCAAGGCTGTTTCAAGCGTTTGTGTCGTGTGCAACCACAAAAACCAAAGCGACGAGGACATCGGAACAACCATTTCATTCCGAGCTCTTCTGGAATTTTCACTTCGTTGCGTATTATTGCCACTTGTCTCCCATGTAAACGCAGCCTCTGTGAACAATGCTTTTCCCTTAAGAGAGTCTTGTCAAAAACGTCAGCTATGATTCGGTACAGCTGTATTGTAAAATAACAGCTAAAAATAGAAACCTATTTTATCACTTGCGCAGTGTTCAGTCAGTCTCAGAAGAGGAGTGAACGCGGATAGAATACGTTGCAATGGGCCTCCAGTACGCATTGTTGTTCGCATGTCTCACCACGGCTGAGGTCTGGGCACTGTACGAGGAATGGACACCGAGCTTTCACTGGACGGAGAAAATGACCATGAAAAACCCGGAAAACAACCCTACCTTCAACCACCCTGAACTTGGGTCTCTGCAAGATGCGTGGCAGGTATGTGATTAAGATAAGAGGGGGTGGGAGAATGAAATTCAGTGTGTTTCTTTAAGGCTTTACAGATCTGTTTTAAAAATACACGAAAGCTATACTTATGCGGACTGTGCAGGTGAGTTACACGGTCAGAGAGACATATTATGAATAAATAAACATCAAGACTAAAGAGGTAATTAACTAAAATGTGTTAATGAACTTTTTAATGATTGAAGGTAGAAATATGAGTCCAATCAGAAATTTGCTGAGTGTCATTGAAAACTTCTGAATCAGTAAATACGCTTGGAGCGCGTAGGAAGCTCGATATCGAGCTAAAGTTACAATCATATCATCTGCAGCTTTTCTCCAGGTGACATACGCCATAAGAGATGGCGCCGGGGTGACTTCCCGTATAGAGGGACACGCCCCCAACGATTACAAAAACCAAAAGACGCTATTGTACGAAAAGTACACCTGATTCGGCGTCAGCAGCGGCTTCGGTGTGGCTTTGGTCACCCTTAGGGCAGTTCCACCGACCACATCCTCCACTTCCGGCTTCACACGGGATTTTCTCATTTGGCTGGCTTGTGTCCCTATGTCGCCTCTTCTTCTTCCTACCTCCATGTTGGGACCGGAGCCGCTCGTGTGAGGCGCGTGGTGTAGATCGTGGCAGGTGTCGACACCGGTGCATCGGTAGTAAGGTCAAGAGGGTGGTGGTTGCGCGCTTGCTCCTCAATAGGCTCTTATATACTAGAGAGTTTTAGTAGATCGTTCCGATACCTCCGATAGCCCCGATAACGATACTATGTATGCGCAAGGGAGGCGGTGGCTGAGTATCGGGATATCGTTATCGGAGTCATGGGAACGATCTACTAAAACTCTCTACTGACAAAGCCTGGCAGATCGCCACGATAAGCGGCCGCCGAAATGTAAAGGGTAGAGCGGCAGACAACGAATGAGAGGAGAGCCACGTGACTTGCGCCCCGCTGCGGCGAGAAGCCCAAACACACTTCTCCCGAGTGAAAAAAAGAGTGTTTCTGTTATATTCATCACGTTCTTTATTGCTACGGAACGGACAGGACCGGTATGGCGCTCAGATCAGTTCCCAGTAGCTCGCTGCCTCGCGCATGCCCTTGCTCGAGAGCATGGCTCGCGCTGCCCGGTTTGTGTGGGCTTCAGCTTGGTTGCTAGGTCCGCAACACATCTTCCCCCTTAGATAGAGTGTCCATATCTTGAAGGTGGGCACCTAGCCCGAGAGCTGGTGCGCCGATCAACTTGGACGGGAACATCCGGTGCAGCTCCTTCTGGAGACTGTACTGGTAGAAACGGAGGCAGCTCTTCAGCAGCAACGGTTGGATTCTGTGCCGGTAGTCTTGCAGGCGGCTCCTCAGCAGCAACAGTCGGAGTGGCAGGACTGGCCTCAGCTGCTGCTGCTGTGAACCACGGTGCTGGCGGCATCGTTTCGCATAAGCCTCTTGCCAAGAGACTATGGGGCCCGGATGTTGGGGGCGTAACTCCAGATAGTCGTCTTCGAATGTGGTCGACGTGTCTGCGGATTTCTCCAAACGGCGTTTGGAGAAGCCAAGATCGAAGACCGAGCTGCTTGAGTAGTGTTCCTTCTAGCCACCTCGGTTTTCCGCGAAAATTGATAGCAAACACAGGTTGCCCTTCAACAAAGCGGCGTGAAGCGGTCGTCACCTCTCTTCCTTCCTCGCCTTCTCTTTTGTTGCATGTTTCTGGTTCTGGTGTAACTCGGCTTATGTTTGATGCCAGTTCACGGCCGAACATTAGCAACTCGGGTGTTTTCCCGGTGGAGGATGTGACAGTGGTGTGCTGCTTGTAGAGGAATCTTGCCAGTCTCACTAACAAGCTGCCGACTTTGTCTTTTTGAAGTGCTTGCTTCAATTCAAAGACCATCCGCTCCGCCTGGCCGTTGGTAGCCGGATGATATGGTGCGCTTGTCACAGGCTCCACACTGTTTCGTTGGTAGAGATCGAGTACTTCCCTTGACACAAACACGCTCCCATTGTCCGACACCACCTTCCGTGGCAATTCGAATGTCGCGAAGATAGCACGCAGTTCTCTAATAACAGCTGTGGACGTGGCTGAGATCATCGCTCTCACCTCCAGCCATTTTGTGTATGAGTCCACAACTACGAGGAACATGTGTCCTTCCATCGGGCCGGCAAGATCAAGGTGTATGGTGTGCCATGGTTGAGATGCATGTTCCCAGTTTGGCAGAGCGGCTCTCATCGGAATACGCCTGGATTCCTGGCAGATTCGGCATGCTTCGACTGCATGTTCAATGTCCCTATCGATAGCTGGCCACCATAAGTAGCTCCTGGCTGACGTCTTCATCGAAACGATGCCCTTGTGTCCAGCATGGAGCAAATCCATTGCTTCGGTACGTGCCTGTCTGGGAATGACCACCCTCGAGCCCCAAATAACGCATCCTCGTTGAGTGGACAGCTCTGTCACTTTCTTCTTGTAGGGAGCAAACTCTTCACCCCTGAGGCGGTCAAGCGTTCCTTGTTGCAACGCCTTGAAGATATGAGACAAGGTGGGGTCTTGAAGTGTCATTTTTGCGATTCTTTTCGCCGTGAGCGGCGAGACCGGCAGCGCCTCGATCATCAGCACGTCTCCGGGCGGGCAGGGTTCGTCCTCCCTATCGTGTAAGGGAAGGCGACTTAACGCGTCGGTGTTCTGGTGTCTCCTTCCCGGCCGATACACTAGCTCATAGTCGTAGGCAGCCAGCTTGACACACCATCGCATCATGCGTGGAGACAGCACTTGAGGTACTGGCTTCTGTGGTCCCAGGATGCCGAGGAGTGGTTGATGATCCGTGGCGATGATTATGTGTCGTCCGGCAATGTACTGATGAAAATGAATCGCCCCGTATATAATGGCGAGGCCCTCCTTATCCAGCTGCGAGTAGTTCCTCTCAGCGTCTCCCAAAGTCCTTGAAGCAAACGCTATTGGAGCTTCTCGCCCTGCGCTATCAACCTGTGCCAACACGGCACCAACACCGTACGGTGAGGCATTACAGGAGAGTAGAAGAGGTCTAGACTCATCTTGCAGCGGACCACCTTGGTCCATTATGATGAGTCTAGACCTCTTCTACTCTCCTGTGATGCCTCACCGTACGGTGTTGGTGCCGTTTTGGCACACGTTGATAGCGCAGGGCGAGAAGCTCCAATAGCGTTTGCTTCAAGGACTTTGGGAGACGCTGAGAGGAACTACTCGCAGCTGGATAAGGAGGGCCTCGCCATTATATACGGGGCGATCCATTTTCATCAGTACATTGCCGGACGACACATAATCATCGCCACGGATCATCAACCACTCCTCGGCATCCTGGGACCACAGAAGCCAGTACCTCAAGTACTGTCTCCACGCATGATGCGATGGTGTGTCAAGCTGGCTGCCTACGACTATGAGCTAGTGTATCGGCCGGGAAGGAGACACCAGAACGCCGACGCGTTAAGTCGCCTTCCCTTACATGATAGGGAGGACGAACCCTGCCCGCCCGGAGATGTGCTGATGATCGAGGCGCTGCCGGTCTCGCCGCTCATGGCGAAAAGAATCGCAAAAATGACACTTCAAGACCCCACCTTGTCTCATATCTTCAAGGCGTTGCAACAAGGAACGCTTGACCGCCTCAGGGGTGAAGAGTTTGCTCCCTACAAGAAGAAAGTGACAGAGCTGTCCACTCAACGAGGATGCGTTATTTGGGGCTCGAGGGTGGTCATTCCCACACAGGCACGTACCGAAGCAATGGATTTGCTCCATGCTGGACACAAGGGCATCGTTTCGATGAAGACGTCAGCCAGGAGCTACTTATGGTGGCCAGCTATCGATAGGGATATTGAACATGCAGTCGAAGCATGCTGAATCTTCCAGGAATCCAGGCGTATTCCGATGAGAGCCGCTCTGCCAAACTGGGAACATGCTTCTCAACCATGGCACACCATACACCTTGATTTTGCCGGCCCGATGGAAGGACACATGTTCCTCGTAGTTGTGGACTCACACAACATGGCTGGAGGTGAGAGCGATGACCTCAGCCACGTCCACAGCTGTTATTAGAGAACTGCGTGCTATCTTCGCGACATTCGGATTGCCACGGAAGGTGGTGTCGGACAATGGCAGCGTGTTTGTGTCAAGGGAGGTACTCGATTTCTACCAACGAAACAGTGTGGAGCCAGTGACAAGCGCACCATATCATCCGGCTACCAACGGCCAGGCGGAGCGGATGGTCTTTGAATTGAAGCAAGCACTTCAAAAAGACAAAGTCGGCAGCTTGTTAGTGAGACTGGCAAGATTCCTCTACAAGCAGCACACCACTGTCACATCCTCCACCAGGAAAACACCCGCGTTTCTAATGTTCGGCCGTGAACTGGCATCAAACATAAGCCGAGTTACACCAGAACCAGAAACATGCAACAAAAGAGAAGGCGAGGAAGGAAGAGAGGTGACGACCCCTTCACGCCGCTTTGTTGAAGGGCAACCTGTGTTTGCTATCAATTTTCACGGAAAACCGAGGTGGCTAGAAGGAACCCTACTCAAGCAGCTCGGTCTTCGATCTTGGCTTCTCCAAACGCCGTTTGGAGAAATCCGCAGACACGTCGACCACATTCGAAGACGCCTATCTGGAGTTACGCCTCCAACATCCGGGCCCCATAGTCTCTTGGCATGAGGCTTATGCGAAACGATGCCGCCAGCACCGTGGTTCACAGCAGCTCGCTGCCTCGCGCATTAGCCTTGCTCGAGAGCATGGCTCGCGCTGCCCGGTTTGTGTGGGCGACAGCTTGGTTGCTAGGTACGCAACACTTTCGGGTCCTCCCCGCTACAAAAGCTGTGCGCTGACATTCGGGTTCCCCGAGAAACGGTTCTTCGATGCTCTCTGCTACGAGGTCCCCCGGCTCCAAATCGGCGACCGGGAACTCCGTGGCTCCGTCGTCGAACCGCCAGGCTTTGTGAGTATTACCGGCGAGATGCTTGGGTGGCGCCCTCCTGTGGTTACCTCTCGTGACGCCATCACTTTCTGAACCACAAGTTTGATGGTGCTTGTATTTAGGATGGTGGAAGCTGGATATCAATGCGCTTTTAAACCAACACTGACATTACCGTCAAAATCGAAGTTCTTCCATTACTTCTATTTCTGTCGACGAGAAATCCTTTGCTGACGTCGAAGACAGCATTCGGCCAATCGTGGAAGGCCGACCACTGCGACGCTTTCGATCGGTCTCGTCGCCAATAGGGGAGGCTATTCTACATGCTCACGCGCACGTGCAGCGGCATGTGCGGGCTTCAGCGACTTTCTGCTGTCGACTCCAGCGCTGCGTTCGTTGTCTATACGTGCAGCCTCACGAACTGCCACCGCCTATACTATTACTCTGTTTCATACTTAGCGTGCAACGCTGTCAAAGCTACTGGCGCGAGCATGGGGCTTGATCTCGTTGATCATTTGCACGAGTTCTCGCGCAAACAGAACCATATAGATGAAGTCACGCGCTCGCGCCAGTAGCTTTGACAGCGTTGCACGCTAAGTATGAAACAGAGTATAGACGCGCCGGTGTAAACACTACCCCGCATTCTAGTACACTGCAATAAAACGACCTGATTAAGCGTTCCAAGCGTGCGTGACGTCGATATAAGTGTAGTTCATTGAAGGCGGGCACCGGTTCTCGAGACAGCTCGTGCGACTTCGTCCTCCGCTCGCGCAGACCCTCGGCGCGGTTGTTGCGTGTGCAGAAAGACACTAGGCGCGTTCGATTTACCTGAACCTCTCGCACCTGTGCAGAAAAGTATAGCGCGGTGTACTTCCGGTATGTGTATTGGGATACGACCGCAAGCACACCGCCCTACACTTTTCTACAGCAGTGTAGGAGGCAAAGTGTCGAACCGGAACCGAACCGAACCGAAAACCGGAACCCAACCGTTATTTTTTCCTAAACCGGAACTGAACCGAACCGAAATTTCCGCCGCCATCTTGGAACTAAACCGGAACCGAACCGGAACTGAACCGAAAAAATATAATGGTAACCGATTCAAAACTGTTCACGGTAATTTTTTTTTTGTATTAGAAAATGAATGTTTTAAAAATAGAAATCGGCAGCTGTATTTCTACAGGGTGATTCAAGAAGACGCCAGGCTCTTTAAATCGACCGCAAAATTCGGTTTCTTAACGTGTCGCGCTACGACTTTGTGCCGCGTTGCCCACAGAGGGTGTATTTTTTATTTTTATTTTTTTGTAAAGTTTGCAAAGAGTGAACTTACCTGAGGAAAAAATAAAGAAAGAAAAAGGCTTAGCTCCTATGGAAAAGCAGCGACGCCACCGGTCTTCAAACAACACGGCACCGTTTCGCACGGGAGAAAAGAGATGGCGCAACGAACGCCGCCAACGAACAAGCATACGGCGCCGAGAGCCGGCGTCTTTAGCAGACGAACTTTTCGACTCAAAAGCGGCGCGCGTTCCGCAGGCGGCGAAAGTCGCAGAAACAAAAACAGGCGCCGTAACAACAAGGCCACTGATCTCTATGTCTATTTGCTGGATCGCGTTTGACCAGCTCCTCCTATGGACCGAAATGCGGTCACTGGCGGCCATCTTTAGGTAGAGTTATATCATCTCTAGCCATCATAGTAATATGGCGGACAGCGCAATGGCGGCCGGGTGCCATAAAATAGCCGTGGATCTAGTGCACTGTACCGTGGGAGATATTTCGTGCTCTATTCAAGTTGTTCGACGACGCAGATTCTTGAAACCCGGCGTGAACGGTAGCCTCATCTTTGAGGACCCGGAGAAAGTTCTACGAAAGCGCGGCACCGGGGGAAAGCAGCGCGGCTCGCATCGAAAGCAGACTCCGTACCGGCGTCTGCTTTTGATGGTAATTTTGATGCGACTTTCGATGCGAGCTGTGCTGCTTTTCCCCCAGTGCTGCGATTTAGTGAAACTTTCACCGGGTCCTCAAAGATCGCGCTACCGTTCAAGCTGGGTTTCAAAAACATGTTTCGTCATACAATTTCAATCAAGCACGAAATATCATCAACCCTATCTTGACGGCAGCCTGCCACCACACCTGCCAAAAAGCTGTTTGCCATGGATGGATTACAGTGGCTGCAGGAGCTGTACCTTGGCTAGAGGTAATATGACTCTACCTAAAGATGGCCGCCAGTGACCGCATTCGCAGAGCGGGCAAACGCGATCCAGCAATTGTCATTGAGGTCAGTGAACAAGGCACTGCAGTTCCTTGTCTGCTAAATACACCGGCTCTCGGCGTCGTATGTTCGTTCGTTGGCGGCAGCTGGCGTCGCGGCTGCTTGCGCCGTCTCTCGTCTCCCGTGCGAAACGGTGCCGTGTTGTTTGAAGATCGGTGACGTCGCTGGATTTCCATAGGAGCTAAGCCTGTTTATTTCTTTACTTTTTCCTCGGGCAAATTAGCTCTTTGAAAATTTCACCAAAAAAAAACGTAGAATGAAATGGATTGTCCTAAAACTTTCGTGGCATTTTGAAAATAGTGTTGCTTCTAGCTTAGTTGCGCCGTCATCCTATATATTATGAAACATATTTCCTAAACCTAGATTTCACGATATGTATGGCGAGGAGGTGCCAATTCTATGATTTTATGCAAGTAATTAATTTCTGAGTTCAAGAGAACAACTAATATTCAACTTTTAATACTGTGACTCAAATTCGTACCCATCACGGGGATTTTAGGCGACCTACCAAACTGATGACCTTTCAATTTAAGTAAAATATATGCGACTGAGGTAAATAAATAGATGTTGAATCATATAAACACGACGTTCTTAATGGTAATTTAGCTTTTCTTTGACTGTTTCGTTGACATTAAATAACGGTTTTTTCTTATTTTTAGTGCCTGATAAGTAAAGTGGATTGTACGAATAATAAAAAAAAATGTATAGTTACTCGTTTCACGGTTTAAATAGTGCCTATTGCCGAAACAGCGCAGAAAATATATTCACATTTAGTGGCTCAAACCGGTTTCAACCGGTTTGAACCGTTATTTTCGCTCCCTGGAACTGAACCAGAATTGAAAATAAAAGGACTATGCACTAAGTGCGCACGGTAAACCCGTAGCAGACTATCTAAACGAAATGTCTTATTTGGACCCCAAAGTAACCGTTGTGGCATATAAACCGAAAAGTAAGGTAAATTATCACCCAATATCTTTAGAAACCATACCACTTTATTACAAAAAACGAAGAAAACAGAAATACCTAAACTATAATTAAATATAATTTAGGGAGCGCTAGAGGATCATCAACTGTCGTTTCCTAAAAGCATGGGATGACCGTACGCAAATTATTTTTTTGAGTATACTTTTCAGTTCTAAAGAAATATCAAACCTACACATGCGAGTGCTAGAGGTGTTTAAAATCCGCTGCGTCGTTTGCAGGTGTTACTTCTATGTAACCATATACTTGTTCTGAACGGTTACACAAATACGCGCTCGCCAGTAATATACTGGCACGTGCACATTTATGTTGTAGTGGTGCTGATACCAATGTTAACGATACAGGCGTTCGATTTGTTCTTTGTGTATGTGTGTTGATTGAAGGGTATACAGTCTAGTCGAGCACCGTTACTTTGCTGTGATTTAAATTTGGGCACTGCCTGATTTTTACTGTCGAAAAGGATACACATGCTTAAATCTGAGTAATACCCGTGCCACACGGGTAACTCGAAAGCCGTTTACAACGAATGACATATGAACGATCGGCCAATCAGCGCGCGACCTGCCGAGCGTGGGGCGTTGCACGCGCGACAGATCGCGAGCCCATTCGTCGATCACGCGAATGTCATTCGTTGTAAATGCTATTCGAGTTGCCCGTGTGGCACTGGTATAAGTGGCCTATTTAGCTGGCCCTACCATGCGTCTTCTCCTAGTATTGAGGAAATAAATAAGAAATGTTTTGTTTTGATGATTGCAGGTCCTAGAAGAAACGTCAACTGATACGTATTTTCTGTTGTTTCGCGCGGCTGTGCCCGTTGAAAAGAAATGTGTCTCCGCAACAGCTAATATCACAGACAAAACCAACAAAACCGCCACTCACACAATAATGATTTACGATACGAGACAAAGGAAATAGTAAGTACGTTACTACTCAGCTGAATAATAATAAAATAGTAATAGTAATAATAATAGTAATAGTAATCTTTAATAACTAATTCTTAGAGTCAGGATCAAGTTCCAGGTCTTGTCAAAGCCTCAAGGGCTTGTGGGACTAGACCCAGCAGTTGGAGCAAGCTTATTCAAAATGTTCACATTGTCACGTACACACACTCACACACGCACACGTACAAACACGAATCACACACCGATGACATCTTCTGCTCCAGGCGCAAGTTCACATTTCTGTCGGTCTTGAAAAAGTGCAGGAAAACACGTAGACTCATCAGAAAATAAACGCACACATACGCAAATACAGTAGCCCGAGAATACAATAAAGACCGTAGTCGTATCGGAAGCTGGAGCGAACTGCCAAAGCCCAACTTACTTCCTCAAAAAAAAAAAAAAAAAGGACGCGCGCGTTTTTTTGCAGTATTGCTTTTCTTAAGGAAAAAAGAAGCTTTTTATACTTTCCAAAAAGAAAAGAATGAAAGATATGCGCCAGTCACAGTTACTTTGAAAACTTACTGACACGATTACTTTCATAAAAAAAAAAGTTTTTCGTGTATTTTTATATTTTTTATCAAGAAAAAAAGAAAAAAAATCCTAGTGAGGTACAAAATATTTCTTACAACCACGTTTTTAATGATAGCTCAAAACGTGTAAACAAAAAAGCGAACTGAAAAGATTACCTTATAAAACTAAGGAAGAAAAAAAGAAGATGGATGGTCACTGTTTTCGCACATCCGAGAACATGCTTCTCAGACATTTTTTCAACATTTTGTTTGAGTTAATGGAAAGCAGAGATTCTGGAAGACCATTAAAAATTTTCGGGACATAAAATGTGCGCAGACTTTCACCATAGTGAGTTCTCACCCTAGGAGTGACGAAACGTGGAACAGATCGGAGTTCACGAGATGGAGTAGACGCGAGTTTGAAATCACTTTCCCAGAAATGCCGCCAAACGACAGTTTGAAGGAAAAGCGAGTAAAAAGACGGCAACTCAATTGAAATGAAGAGGTTAGCATTGGATGAAAAGCCGCTGTTGTATGCGACACTTTTTATTGTCGCATACAACAGCATACAACAGCATACAACAATTAATAACAAATTAATAATAATAATAATAATAATAATAATAATAATAATAATAATAATAATATTAATATTATTGATCGTTTATTCATAAATGCCGCTGTCTCTAAGTGTGTTATTGGGGCCGATCAAAACCAGCAGGGATTTGTGGGACCGGACCCCGATTTAAAAATAAAACAAGTCGAAACTCGCACAGTCTCTCGTGCACAAAAAAACAAACAAAAAAACTTTACAAAAGTCAAGCTTTGCACACAAAAAGTTTACATAAAAAATTTATACAGGTCGGGCTTTGCGGGCTTACGTGCACAAAAAAAGACCCTGCAAAGAAAGACCCCAAACGTCGGAAATTGATCTTTGAAGTTCGCTTTTTAGTTTCAAAACGAACAAGGCGTCTGGTATCGATGTCATCAGTGCAAATGATCTGCGCCGAAATTATGATTCTATAAAACTTCTGCTCCTTCACATGTTAAATGGTTTCATTCTCTTCTGAATGATCGCGGATGCTTTGAAGGGCGCACTAGTGAAGCCACTATTTCAAAGGGGAGAGCATAAGAAACTTGACAATTATCGACGGATTTCCATTTTGCCTTGTATTAAACAAATCTTAGAAAAACACATTTTCCAAACCATGACAGCCTTTCTTGATCGCTTTAGCAATATGTCGCCCGATCAATATGTATTTGTCAATGGGTGTGGGAGCCAGCCACTTCTGGAAAATTTTGTAGACGAATTGCATCCAGCCTTCGAGGTTCATCAGGTTGCTTGAGCGCTTCTTATTGATGAGGCAAAGGCATTTTATACAGTGAGTCACAAGATTTTACTGACAAAATTGCAAATCGTTGGATTCCCCGGCCCTTTCCTTTTTCTCCCTGGACATTTCAACTGGGAGGAAACAACTAGTTTCTTTAGGTAATAGTCGAAGCTCCCGAGTTACCTTAAAGGCTGGAGTTCTGCTTTTTATCACGTCTTCTATTTAACATTTTAGAAAACGATATGTTCAACTCAGTTTTAAGACGCAAATTGTTCCCATACCCGGATGACACATTGTTACTTTCGAAACATCCTAATTTTTCTGTAGAAATCACTTTCCTCCAAGAGGACACTTGCAAACTTCATGACTGGTTAAGATAAAATGTCTTAGGATAAATACATCTCAAACTCAGCTTGTCTGTTTTCGTAATTTCCTTAAAAGTTTAACGTCCGATCATCCTCTCTATTTGCATGCTTCGATTTGTATATCGTGCAATTGTTGTCCTATATCTTATGGGGATCATGTTAAATACTTAGAAAATCAATTCGACAACGTGATTTGTTGTGGAATTCCAATATGTCAAAACTTTGTAATCGATTAAGAAACGTACCTTGTTTACTGTACAATACCAGCTCTCTAATAGCTAATTCAACGAAAAATACAATAGCTCACGCTTTAGCATTCTGTGTTTTGGGCTACGGAATAACTATTTTTAGGCACAGGACCGGACGATGGGCAAACACAAGTTGACTCAATCGACAGAGCGTTGGAAGGAAGCAACTTCCGCAGTCAACTGCGTCAGACAAAGGCAGCTTTGGATCTACCCCCTAATCCTTCCAATCAGAACTCAGCGTTTTGAAGTCCCCGCACGCTTTCGTCTCCTTCTCTTTCTCAGTTTCTCGGCGCATATGTTTTAAAATTAATTTGCTCGTAAATTATATTATTTACAGCGAGAATGCCACAATACAAGTGAGAGCTCTGAATCAAGCTGACTACCCGCTTGAAAACGTTATAAGGGCCAACTTCAAAGGTATGTAAAAACTTTAACCACGCTTTAAGGGGGAGGGGGGGGGGGGGACGGTGGGGAGTATAGCCTGGTAGCATAAACCTTTGACCCTTCATTCCAGTTTATTCAAATTTTCAGGACGAATTAAGCCCTATTAGGAATTATAAATTCCATAGTTTCAGCCTCTTACACCAATTATACAGCATCTTAGGCTTCTCAAGCTCCAGAAAAGAAGTGACTTCATTAGGAAATGTGTTAAAGAAAAATTGTAATTTCAATCCAAAGAATTATATTTAATCTGAAGTAAAGTGTACATAGTACTAGTTAAGGTAACTACAAATTGTAGAAAAAAAGTTAACTTTAGAAAAAAAGAACAAGATAAAATAAAAAATAAAAATTCCCAAAATGTTTATTGTGAAAGAGCTTTTTCTCTTAGATTGATATCTTTATGATGATAATGCAGTTAAATGCAAAGGTGCAAGCGGTACCCGGACCAGGCGGATTTTTTCGGTCGCGCAACAGTCACATAGCTGTGTTGGGAGATTTGTGTTTGTCCTTTGTCCCTCTTTTTCCCCTTCTCCAGGGATTATTTTCGTCAGTGAGTACTTTAATTTGTTATTCAGAAAATTTTATTTCAGAATACACCTAAATTAAGGTTTTACGCTATCAGAACCTCAAATGATAACACATCCTGCTAAAAAGTGAAACTGAGAAAAATGCATTTGAAGTTTCAACGACAGGTTTCTCTAGTCTTTTGAGTGTGAGGCTTACAGAATTCACATGAAGCATGGGAGCACATTCTTTTCTGAAACCTCGTTGTCCTTATAAACGAAGCAAGCCATCTTTGATAGCAGGCATTCGTCTACAGATAAACTGCCGAGAACAAAGAGGCAAATGATACTAAAGAGCCGCAAAGTATCAATCTGAATGGAATTTGAAGATAATGTAAACAGGTCACTTTTAAAGATAACACACTATCACGTCACCGGGCAGGACCAATTGTAAGCCCTGTTTCGGATCTCCACCAGTAAAACTGCTCATACAATTTTTTTTTTACATTTAGTCTGTTTGTATTTATGGGGTTGTCCTGGGCATTAATCATTTAAAACTTGAAAAACGGCGACAGGCTAAATCAAGAGAACGAGGTGCTTCCAAGGAGGGTTAGATGTTCGGGCTATGTTACACGAGAACGAAATAGCCCTCATTAAGAAAGTGCAAATTTCCTCTCTGATGCTTTGGAGGGCTGCCGACGTGCCGAAAAAAAAAATATATGGAGAGAGAGAAGCGAACAAAACAAGCAGATCTTCTAAAAAACAAAATGCTGTTTTTATTTTTAGTTTTTTTTTTTTTTACTTTGGTGACTTTTGAATTTGTGCTAGTTTTCTGTCTAATCTTTTTCTCAATAAAGAATATTTTCAAATCACACTTGAAATAAACAGAACGAGGACCTACATTCGTATGGTGAGGCTATCTGTCGTTTAAATATCACTTTTTAACTATGGAAATTCGTGCACCTTAGCCCGATTCTTTATATATATGCATATATATATATAGAGAGAAACAGAGAGACAGACAGATTCCTTTAATTTACCCAAGGTGAAACACAGTGTTGAGTAAATATTGGTTTATATCTAAAATGTTGGGTTGGATGACGGACCGGACTTCCCAAAATAAACCAGTATGAGTAAATAGTGAAACCTTCCTGCTTTGACTGGGCCATTATTACAAATATTGCCCCACCATCGTGCTCATGTTCGTCCATCGTCGGTTTGTGTAGGCCACATTTAACCATAATGCTACGTTCAGGCAATGTCTTAAGGCAATGTCTTATGGCAATGTCTTAAACCAAACCGAGTCCTGATTAACTCCCGCGTCAGAGATGATCTCCCGAGGTTTTCAGGTGAACTCTAAAGGCCCTTTGACACTCTTGCGACCGAGTACGACCGAGAGAGACCAGACCGGTTTTTAAGCCTCTTGCGATCTCTTAGGACCAGCTCCGCTGCAACGCATCCGGTCCTAAGAAGTCGTAAAAGGCTTAAAAACGGGTCTGGTCTCTCCCGGTGGTACTCGGTCGCAAGAGTGTGAACGGGCCTTAAGATACTGAAGGTCCTTCTACCATGAGAAGAAAGCTAGGGCTTGGTGTTTCGGGGATACGTTCAGTGTGGGTGATACGGAAACAAATTTTACAACGTAATGAATTTAAAAAACAAACACGAAAACTCTCTTTCCTAATACAAGCATGGAAAACTTTGACCTCAACATTGGTGGCAGCAGAGTCAAAAACTTAACCGATTGAGGATTTCTACTAAAAATAAGAGCGCTCCGAATATTAGGTAGGTTGTTTTAGCAAAGGTGGATTATATAAAAGCAATCAATGCGGGTTTGCAGTCGGTCTCCACGGGCAGGCACGGTTGTGGCTTTGAAGCGGCCAGATATGTATCCGGTTGCAGTGGCCTGGCCAGAAAGGTTTATCTGGGGGGTGCAGAGATGGCTCGGATGTTGATGACTTGGGATGTGAGGGCAAGGGGAGGCGGAGGGGGTGTAATAATATCTGTGTATATTATAGGTCGGCTGAATGTTGAGGTGGGGGAGGGGAGGCTGAAGCTCTTAAGTTCCTCCCCTGGCAACGTCAGAGCCTGGTTGCACCTGCTAATATTAGCCCATTTTGGTGCCACTATCGTCAGAACTAGCTTCACTACAGAGCTGTAAAAGTTACTCATGACAGCTAATTAGGTTACAGTTGCAGTTACCTGAGATTAAATGGAGTTAAATCACAATTACACACTTACAATTGTAACTCGTTAAAGTTAGTTTTCAAAAAAATGAAACTAAGTTATACATCCCAGTTACTTCACTCTAATCTATTAATTTAGTTCTAAAAAAACTATCTGCTCTGAACTGACATTTTGAACCCTGGAGAGTGGGGAAACAAAGTGGGGAAGCCATTGATTGCACTCTGAGCTAAGTTTTCATTCTAAAATTGTAGAGCGGGGAGTTGTTAAGTTTGTGCTAATGAACTCAACAAAGTTTTCTAGTGCTCACCGTTTGGGCACCGGTTTGGTAAAGCAGCTTCGCAGATTGTTCTTCGCGAAATACAGCAGGGCGTTCGTCTTTACGGTCATCCATCATTTCCTAAAAATTCTAACTTACGGAAAGGCGTCGGAGTAGAGAAGTTCCGTAAGATCCCCAGAAATGACCCACCTTTGAAAAATAATGCACGCTTATTTTTGGACGATTTGCTATTTTTATAAATCGCCGAAGGATAGCCTACTTAGTAATTGCAGGGTCTTGGCCTATCATGACCTCGGCTGAAATATGGTGTTACCTAGACACGGCGAGAGATAAGCGAACATTGCTGACTGGGAAGGAGAGTTGTCTTGTGTTCCTCGCCCCTCATTGTGATTACAGGTTTCGTAGATCCCGAAATCTAAAAATAACATTTTTTTTTTTCAACATTTTTTTGATCGCACACCCAAAGTTAGACCACCCAATATTTCACCCTATTTGCTTTTGACTCTAGGTGGGCTAACTCTCGAAATGTTACGGTCGTTTTTTTTTTTGTTTTTTTTTTTTTTGCTTGCCGCATCTCCGTGGTGTTTCCAAGAACCTCAAAACGCTAGTAAAACGTTTGGTGCGACAGCTGTTTTTCAACTCGATTTTCGGATCGACCGGCTTACACCTCTTTCGTCACAGAAGGCTGCTTCTAACAAAAGTTAAAAACCCCCTTCTGAATTGCGATCTGGGTGTAGTTGGGAAACGTTCTGTGAATTTCGGTTCTTGCTATGTGAGTCAGACAGCTAGATGTCTTAATGACAGGTTAACTGAATACAAACGAGCGCAAAAAGACGAATCCGTAGGTTCAGAATAAGAAAATCTTCTCTCTTCATGTAGCAATTGTGTCGTTGTTCGGAAAGATAGTGAAGTCCCCACTGGGAAAGGGATTGTTACAAATATTGAGTGAAAGTGTTGTTGATGATGGGCAGGCACGCTATTTGTTTTAGCAACATGTTTGTTTCTCTAAACATTAGCATGAAAGCGTTTCTTAATCTAAGACATTTTCTTTTTTCTGGCTCTGTTAGAATTCGGTTAACATCATTCTTTTTGTTGTTTAGTGATCGTTCGGTGTTTGACTTTTACTTGGTCCTCAGTTGTTTGTGTTGTTATGAGGATGTGATCTATCATTTCCTTTCTGCGGGATCTCGTTTGGGCGTTCAAATGCACTATGGATACGAGTACCTTGCTTGGGTACGCGTGACATCATCGCTTTCATCCGTGTGTTCTTTTCATCTGTTCGTTTTTTTTCTTTTTGTTTTGGTTGTCTATTTAAGGTTGTGTTTTGTGAAATAAACGTCAGTTGTGTGTATAGATTCGTGTTGTCCTGTCCCTACGTTTCCCGCTTAACCTTAACCAGCTCGTCTGCACCCTTGGATTTAAATTTGTTCAAACCCGTTCGATATGGATCATGATAGCCTGTCATTTTCTTATGCACTTGAGAACAGATGCAGCAAAAAAGCTTTAGCGGGTTGCATTCGCGATCATCGTACTCGTTGCATTTACTAAACTGCGGTTATATATGTTAGCCTGTTTCAGACGATCGTCTCATGAATTTAATTACCGATAGTGTTAACCGTTTCTTCCATTTCCAAACGTGCTGCTCACTCCAAAATGTTGATATATTAGCATTTTCAATCAAGTCAAGCTGTATATTTATCACTCAAAATTAACAAATTCTAGTGTCATGCGAAATCAACCCAGTAATTATTTAAATAATCTCACCGACCGGGCCTTCCGCAGATTTGAAGTGCTCGACGATAATGTTCAGAAGTGAAAATTCGGGAAGTAATTGTAACTAAACCAAGTTACAAGTAACACAAAAATTATTAAGTTCCATTTATAAGGCATGTAAGCCAACGCTTTTAAGGCACATTAGACGTCCCTAAAAAAATCAGTTTCTCAATGTATCGCACTGCGATTTACTCCAAAGGTGCAAGCATGCAGTGGAAGGCTACATTGAAAAAATCCAGGAACGAACTTACCTTGTTCAAAAGAAAATAAAATAAAATGAACGACGTTTACAAATCTCTATTGCGAACTTAGAGCGCGGCTCTTCTAGGGGAGCAGGAGAGGGTACGAAGCAGAGTGTATGCCCCCCATACCCTCCCCTCCTCCTCTCCTCGTCCTCATCTCCCGTCCTCCTTTAATCCTTCTTCACTCCCCTCCTCCACTATGTACCCTCCCATCCTCCTCCTCCCACAGTTTTCCCGCTGGATTTAGCCGGAAAAATGACGCCACTTGACTTCAACACCAATTCAGGTCCCACGCTAAATTTAGCGCTGAAAATGACGCCACATGACTTCGTGTCACATAAACCATAAACAAATTGAGTTTTTCTGCCAGATTTAGCAGGAAACCTGACGTCACGTGACCAGAACACCAATTCAATTTCTCGCTAAATTTAGCGGAGTGGTTACACCGACGGCGAGACCGACGGCGGCGCCCTATGCGGGGAAACAGGCGCCTAAGAGCTGCGCTTAATGCGAAAGCATTTACTCTCCCATGGAGCGAGCCTACGTCCTCGGCTTCGAAGCCGCGCAAAACGGCATCTTAAATTTTTTCTCCAAGTGAAGCCAGCTCCCAGCTACGAAAGCACACGAAAAGCCTAGCCCTAACGGCACCTAGTTTCCCCTAACCCAAAGGAGCGGAGTAAAGCTGGTGGGTTTTGGCTCTTTCTTTTCCTTTTAAACTACGTAACATCATTTCTTGATTTTTTTTTTCGTTGTAAAATTTCATTACCTGCTTACACCTCTGTAGAAGGTCGCAGCGCGATACGTTGCGAAACTGATCTTTGCAGGCGGTCTATATTTGTTTTTAAAGCGTTTGTTTACATGATGTTGTTGCAAACGTTTTATTGTAACTTGAAAAAGTATTTAGTAAAAAAAATTTAACTAACTACAGTAACTCCAAATAGATGTAATTAGTTTCTTCACTGCTTCGCTTCACTGTCAGGTCAGGATTACCGCGCATCCTGGGAGGATTTCAGATGCCTAATCGTCTAAACTATATTAAAAGTGCGGTTATTTGCTTTTGTACCTTTAAATCAGGAAAACTCCCAAACGCTACTCCAGTTCCCCCAGGAAGCTACACGTACGCTGAGTACGATAACTCTACCTGCTATTCCAGAAGTACTCCCTTTCCTGATAAAGGTAAGTTCAGGTTTAATGTTCGACAAGCGTTGAAAAATGCTTTTGTTAGTGGTGCATTCAGTTTGAATTCCGAAAATGATTTTCTCACTCAGGTAATGCTGTAGATTATCGGCAGAGTGCACGAAACTATGGTAACTCTAAGAAGAATGTTCTAGATGAATTGTTCCCCTCTCCGGAAAGTGCTGACTATGCTGACATGTATGTCATATACAACGAGCCGCAATGTTATATCCTTAGGAGTCCCGCAGCCAAAGGAGGTAAGTTCATTAAAACTTTAGCGAGATAAATGTCACATTATCTTGTTTTTCGCTAATTTAAATGATCAGTTTAGCAGATACCGTTTGCTTCATTACAGAAGAACAAACAGCGATATTAAGGTTGCTTAAAAGGGGAATCTTGAATAAAACGAGCTGTCCATGGAGGCGTATTACGAAGGATTTACTTTGCAATGCTTTTATAAGGTTTCGGGCTTAGAAGGCTTCAGACATGTGTAGGATAAACCCTACATTCCACGGTATGTTCATTGCACAGAAGTCGTGTCTAAACCCGTTGGTAATTTTCGATGCCTCGAAGGCTCTGATCCATCGGTATAGGTTAACCGAAACAGAGATACTATTGGTACCAACGTTTTGTTTCAACTAAAAACGAGTGCTCCCCACATTGCCCAGTATCACGCACAATTAACGATTGTTCAATTACAATTGCAGAAGGTGACTTCGCAGGACTGTAGTGAAATGTCTTACACTGCAGGTGTCGTGTGTGATTTCAAATACGTCCGGAATGCTAGTGCAACTTAATTTCAGGGTAATTTTGTGATAAGTGGGAAACTTGCAAGATAATTGAGGATGAGAGGTGGGCCCTAGTACGAAACAACAAAACATAATAGATGTTTTATGCATCGCTTGTGCAACAAATACCTAAAAGTGAATAGCCCACTTCAGCGATAACATGAAGATTTAATTTATGAAGAGAACGCCATCGGCCATCTTAGCCTCCCGGCGATCGAAAAATATTCGTCTATTCTTGTCTCACCATAGCTTGGCAAACGGCGAAGGCTACTGCCTGAGTGAACCAATCAAATCGTCGGAACAAGAAACGTGACAACACTCTATTTCACTAGTTATACGTCGTGAAAAAATCCCGCTAGTTCCAATCGTCGCATTACGGCCCAGAGTGCATTATTGCCCAGAGCGGCGGAAAGGCCGGGAGTGTCTGTGAAGCCGAGTAGGGCGTAAGGGCCGCGAACTGCATTAAGGCCGATAGTCTTGAATGGACTGGTGCGGAAGCCTTTTCGGGGCTCGCGTTGTGGTTGACGACTTTAGTTGCCAGCAAATAAGATAGATGGCGCCACACTGAGCAAGACGGATGCAACGCCATACTCAGTGTCACAACTCAGACTTCACTTTTAGGCTTAACGTATTGTCAATCTCGTCATACGCCGAGGTCTCTTCGCAGATTTCAATATTGGCGCTCCGAGTAGGATGCGGGAACCTAGATGTATTGGCATTTTTAAGAGTGTATCTGTCGGTGACTGCAAATACCGCGGTTTTGGGTTTGTTTCACCATTCACCGCCAGCACCAGTCGGCACGGCGACATTGCCTAGCCGAATTTTTTATTTATTTATTTGCTCTTCTGCTCATTATCATTTCTTATTCCTTTGAGCAGTAGTTCCTTTGTCTACATATTTGGATTATTACACGCACACACACATGCACGCACGCACGCACGCACGCACACACGCACGCCCGCCCGCACGCACGCACGCACGCACGCACGCACGCACGCACGCGCAAACGAATTTTCAAATGAATGCTATTAATTTAGGGCGCCTTTTTCGTATAACATCCCTATATTTTAAAAATCGACTTTATTAGCTATTATATTATAATATTAGAGATATAATTATAATTATAAATAATAATGCAATAAATAAAGATATTAATAATAATATTATTAATAGAAGTTCAGTAAAAACGTTATTGGGTCTTTTTAATTTTAGCACTTTAAATAAATTAATTATGTGTCTATGTTCTACCTGGCGGCCGCGAAAACGATGAGTGAGGTTTATTTTAGAAATTTCATTTCCAATCTCTTTACAGCGAAACGCTGAAGGAAACACATGCATGCAGGCTAGGAAATATGACAACAAAAAAAAAACACATGGACAATGCTAAAAAGAAAACCTGGCCTCCAAATCCTTTCTCGCCTAGCTGTTTAGCCCCAGCAGCCAGGACACTTCATCAAGGACGGCGTTGATGTTATCTGCGAACTGGTGCTGTAGGTTTGACATGGCTGCCACTCCCATTCCTGCTGCGACGCTGATGCAGCTCCACTCTCGCGCCAGGTTCGTCTTTTGGGTGCAGATAGAGTCGATTGCCACGTATCTTGGCCTGCTCGTGTAAGGCACTTCTCCGTTGCGGAGACAAGCCAAACACGTTTCCGTAAGAAATGAAGCAATAAATAAACAAACGCAGTATTTGCCGTCACCGAGAGGTCCAATGTGCGCTGAAAAATAAAATAAACATGTGGCGCCATTTTTCCAATATGGTGGCAAATACGGTCGTCAACCACAACGCATTCCCTCAGGAGGCGGCCACACCAGCCCATTGAGAGACTATTGACCTTAATGTTGTCGGCAGTTATGGCCCATTCGGGCTCAAAACCATTCCCGGCCCTTCCGGCCCTCTAGGCCGTAAAGCACGCTCAGCCGTACTGCAACAATCGGCCGAAATGATAGTGACCCGTGCGTGGTGCTGTCAAAGCCGTGAGCGGCGTAGAGGAGAAAGCCGCTTTTGTAAAAATTTTGACATACGGGCGAATCTCCGAAGGGGAAAACAGCGACGTCTGGGCCCCACAAAAGTAGGGTTCGGATTAAAAGGGAAGTTCCTTCTTCCTCTCCTCTCCAACTGCTCGGGTTGCGTTCTCGCCCTTCTGACTTTACTGACGTCTGTCACGTGCTTCAACGTCGTCACTCTGGTTGGCTCGAAGGTGCCGCAGTCCTCGCTCTTTGCCAAGCCAAGGTGAAACGATGTATGCTGAAGTTTGTTCTTGGGCTTAGCGGACGATAGTCATCCACGTTTCGCACCGCCAGCCTCTTTTGCAGTTGTACCTTTAGCGCACCTCCGCACTTTTCATGTCCATTAAGTCCTGAAATTATATAATTTAGTGGTCTTTAATAACCTACAGCAAGTTTATAATTGGAACCATACGTCTATTTTCACTTACTAAAAGTTACCTAACAAGTTTTATTTGATTGTCCGACTCATTGTGACGGTTATCCCACAATAATATGACCCCCTGATTTTATTCCTCATTCGCACACACAACAGTTGTGTAATTTTCACGTCTTTTGGTATCTGTTCAAATTTTAAAATGAAACACCATGTGTATTTAGTTTACCACATTCTCCAAACAGTCTCAGAGCGTGTTAGAAGTGCAGCTTTCTAGTTACTTCAAATAAATATTCGATTAATCGCAACAAGGTTTCGTTGAGTCGAAAAGTCTTGAAATTAACTAAGCAGTCTATTTGAGTGACGTTGGCTCCATTGGTTGCCTACTATGGGCAGGTCGACGCCATTTATTTTGACTTAACCGAAGCAGTTGGTCTTGTGCTCCATGACAAGCTAACGGACAATGAGGTGCGTTTGCCGGTATGTTCGTGGTTTCATCATATCTTTCCTGGCGCATCAACAACGCTCATGTTAACGGTGTGTTATGTAGATCATAGATATCATCTTGCGTTCCTCAGTGTTCTATTCTAAGACCCTTGCCGTTTAACATTTTTCCTATAATGTCTCTTTTAGTATTTCCTTCGATTTGTTGATTATATTAAGATGTTAGACGGACCAAGTCACAGGTTGATTGTGAGCTGCTGCAAGACAAATCTGCTATCTCATCGTGATGAGCAACAAAAAAATACGTCGAAACATTAAAAGACACTTTTTGTTTTTGTCACGGAAGAAATATGCTCTTAATTTCTTTCTATAAACAAGACGATCAACCATGGCGACGTGAATATTTCATACATTACTTAGGAGTTTATATCGATCCATCCCTTAGTTCTATCATCTGTCGAATTCGGTTAGTTCTTGATTGTGGCTTTTAGGTTTGTTTTCGCTTAAACCCGTTATTTTAAAAAGATTTCATGCCACGTCAGGCTTTATAAATATATTGTTCATTCGAAACTAGAGTTTGGCTCTGTACTTTGGAACTGTCTGGGATCATCCAGCCCTGCTAGCCCAGAACGTGTGAGAGAAAGTTGGCACATATTGAGTACGATTCTTATCACGGCACCCGGTTCTTTTGTAGCTACGCGTCAAGGTTACTTCGGCTAAACTTGCCAATACTGACGCCGAAATTTTCGAGACTATACATTTTTGTCTAAACTGCACATAACAAAATACATTGCCTTAGACTTGTTTCTTTGCTATCACTATATGGCTCTTCCGTAAATTGTCATTTCCACAGCACTTTCTACGTACAAGACATGTGTTAACTTCCAATATTTTATTCATTCAAAGTAATTTTAATGCACTGAGTGCGGTGGTTGGCATTTTTGAGAGTGAGTTGGATTTGAAAAGTATCCTAATCATCTACATTTGCAAACATCAGTGCTCAGCCTTTCTGTGTGCTTCGTTATTGTGTGTTTTGTTTTTCTTATGAAGGTGTATATGTGTGTGTGAATGTGTTCCAAAATTAAAAAGGACTCGGTTGTTTCAGGACACAATAGAAAAAAAAATCTAAAAAAACCTAAAAAACATATTGCTTAAAAAATATCACAGGGATGGTTACGGAGCGCTGTGTCAGAATAGTCAGCTTAGCTCTGACTATAAAACAAAATTATTCATTGCCTAATCTTGCCACTCTCTTTCAAGAAAAAGTGATACCCATTCAATGAGATATTCGTATCTTATTTAATTTTTTTGGCGTGTGGTGAAATGGCTCGAGTCTGGAGGTTTAAACATATAACAAAAAACACTATGCTTATCTCAATTTTGTTTACCTTAGTAACGATTAGTGTTACGACATGATTAACGAAAGCAAAAAAGAACGCGCAAAAAATAGAAACAAAAACAGACATGCAGAAGAGTACTGCACGCGAGAAGCGATGGCCGACAACAAGCATTTTTATTTTATATTATTACTTCCACCTGCTGTCCGCGCTGCCACTGCTTTTTGTTTTCATTTGGAGTCCCTTGCTTTCTCACGTTTGAGTACCTCCACAGTCTCCCAAAACTGTCTGTACCATTTTCGGAATTGATTGGTATTTTGTCGATTTTATAGGATGTGACTTGTGGCTGAGAAAAACCGAGTTGAAACAAATAGCGGAAGACCTGGAAGATGAAATTATAAGAAAAATAGAGCAACTCTATAAGGAGGGTAAGGAAGAATGGGGAATCTATGAAAACTGCACTGCGACAGCTGCTCTAAAGAAAAGAGTAGAAATTTACGTAGATTATGACTTTCAAAGATGGTGGAACGATGTCGTATGGGAACGGATTTCCCTCGACTGCGTTCTCGCCTTCATGATAAATTGTGGAAAGCCATTCTATAGCGTTTCCGATCCGAGAACCTGTTATACCACACTTACAGGGCAATACGTGTCAATTCATTAGAATTGACACGCGTGATTCTTAATTGCATGTCGGATGGTGAGGAAAAGCCGTGTGTACGCAAACTTGACATAAAAAAAAATCTGTCACTGTGTAGTGTCTTGCATCCTTGGAAATAAAATGAGTTGGAAAAACCAATAATTTCATTTCGATCTCAGTGTAAACAAAACAAAAACGTACAGGGTCTTCGAGCTAACTTGCGCCAAGACTTTAAAAAAAACATGGTGCGCGCGACCGTTTTAAGCGAGCGCAGTATTGTTCAATTGAGCAAGTCAGGTCACTTTTTTTAATAGGCCAAGCTTGCTAGTGAACATAAATGAAGTAGCCGAGTTTTTAAATATTATTTTGTGCGCATCCTTTCAACGAAATTGTTCTAGGGCCTGTGGAAAACCATTCGTGCCTAATGTTTTTAAGAGTTAAAGAATGCATGGGAATTTTTTTTTAAATTATTATTCTAGACAACTAAGGGCGTTCACACTGCAGTTCGCCAGTCACTAGTTAAGTACGACATTTTAAATCTCGTGCGAGATCTTTAAGCTTTTTTAAGGCTAAAAAAATTAAACACACAACAGGGCTATGAAGAATACTGCATTGGTTCAACAAGCGCGCACCAGATTTTTTTTAAGTCTTGGCCCAAGTAAAGGCACCCCTATACAGGGTTGCTTATCCGTCCATACCGCCGGACGCCTTCCTCCCGCGACGCGTAGAGGAAGCCAAAGAACCTCGTGGTGTCCCGGACTACAACCCTAAATCGGTTTGAGAACCGGGCTTGAATCTAGCTCCTTTGCTCACCGGCCTCCGCTACTGGCACAAAACCTTTTTTTCTGATAAAAAGAAGGCGTTTACAACTCTGTAACAAAGAATTAGAGCCCAGCTCTTGAGCTAGAGGAGGGTATGCCCCTCCTTCTCCGTACCCTCTCCTCCTCCCCTCCTCTCCTTCACCACCTCCTCCCCTCATCCTCCCTCTCCCGTCCTCTGTCCTGCTTCTTCCTCTTATCCTCCTCCCCCTCCTCCTTCTCCTCCTTCCCCTCCCTTTCTCCCCTCCCTCCTCCCTTGTGACGTCACTCGTGACCCTAGTGACCCTCGAGACGTCACTCGTGAAGGTCGTGACCTTCACGTGACCTTCATTGTGGAGGTCGTGAGCTTTGTCTTGACCTTCATGAAGGGATCCAAACATTTCGGTGTCGGACGTTTCGGTGTAGGGCGTTTCGGTGCGGTCTTTTCGGTGCACGGACTTTTCTGTCCACGAACTGTTGGGTGCACGTACTTTTCGGTGCACGGACTTTTCGGTGAGCGGACTTACGGTGCACGGCCTTTCCGGTGTAAGACGGTTCGGTGTATAGACGTTACGTGCACGGATTTTTCTGTGCATGGTCATTTCGGTGTAAATATGTGCCTTGATTTATTTTTAGAATTACAATTGAATTTTTATATCTGAAACTGCATCTTACTTTTTTTTAACAGCTTGCAACCTCTCCAATGAGAACAACTCTCAATTCTAAAGCAACGTTCTCGGCTCAGTGTTTTCTTTTCCTGGTTGTGGCCAGAGAACTCTAAGAACTACAAAGTAGCACTAAAACGTATATTGTTTTATTATTATTAAAAGTGCAAACCTGAAACCATGTCTGGTTTGAGAACAAGACAATGATCAAGCTTCTACAATAAAAAAGCGGAGTTGCTCACCAAACATTTGGCGCCAGTAGCTCGATGATCAATATTGCTAATATGGTTCCCTAGAATTCTCTAAAACGCAACACCTGCCAAAGTCACACAAACCATTGTCGCTATATAAACCATATATAAAACTAATTTTGCTTATCCTTGTGGGTGAGCTGGTCAACTCGCCGAAAGTCAATTCATCGAAGAATACTCGAAGGCCAATTTTTTAAATAAGCCATATGGTCATTGGACAATTTGTGGAGCAAGAAACTCGTTGGAAAGGCCAACTTGCCTCAGGACAATTTGTTGGGCTCCTGGGGTATAGGTGGACATGAAATCGCTCTTTCATTATCGGCCTTGCTTATCGTTTTCCCGTCAAGTCCTTTCTTTTTTTTTTCAACTTGTCTGGAGAGTCAGACGGAGTCGATACTGCATACAAATCTGCAAACAAAATATTTAAAATTCAGATTTATTTATATGCTTATTGGTTCCTTGGACGACTTGTAACCAAATCGATACTCTGCCAGTATTTAAAAAAAAAAGAAGTGAGGGCTAATTTAGTTTATATTTTGTTTGCTGGCCATGAAGTGCACGAGTACGGTAGCTTGAGCACTCAAACTCTTCGCTTCGCCGTAAAGCATGAGGGATATAATGTGGAGCTGTATGCGCAATCTAGGTTACGTGGAGAATTTTCATCGCCCAAATTTAGAAGATGTTGCGGATCTCATGGCTAATTGCTAGGGCTTTCTTTCGTCCATCAAGGATCCAATAAAGCTTTGGTTGGGGTTAGTTGGTTCATATCGAATAAAAGGTGATGAGCGATAAATGAGCGATAAGAATTTTTTTAACTTGTATGTATTTAGGTGATTGGGATCGGGTTTGAGGATGATTCGTGTTTCAATAAATCAGTTGGAAGTCGGCGCCTGTCCGTGTCGTAAGTGTGTCTTTTTCCGTCCTGTTTGCTCGCCCCTTTTAACCTTTTAGTCCATCAAGGGACTGCAAGAAGGATGAGTTTCAACGGCAGCCGAGTTAGAAAAATGGATATTACACCTTTTGGCAAGATATCTAGTTAAATAAGTTGATTATGTGCAGTAAAAGTTTTAAACATCAACATGTGCTTTTATTTCGTCGAACAAGTTACAGAAATCTGTATTTTAAAGCAAAACATGTTTGTCAGTGGGGCCACGCTCACATGTTTCATAGATCTCTCCGACATATAATACAGCCTCGTCCATTCACGAAAACTTTTCAAAAAATACCTAAAGACCTACATAACGGACAACGCCCCTGAGGAAACGCCCGTCCTGCTTGCGGTCGTAGTCCCTTTAAAGCGTCTGCAAGCGCTCCGTAGCCTTGTCATAATGTTGGGTTGCTTGAACCGGCGGCCCATTTCCAGTTGCCCAAGCTGCAGGTAGTCGTCCCTCTGCAGCACCTCCAGAAACCTCCATAGAGTTAGGTGGGGGCACTGCAGGTGGGCCTGAAATCCCCGGTGCCAAGCCTCTACTGAATTCGTGGTCTTGGGGTCGCCCTGTACAGCGGTCTCGTGGTGGTTTCATAGTTCCACTGAGAACCGGGCGTCTCGCCTTCCTCGAGCTGCCGGCCGGCCGATAAAAACATCTCGAAGTACTCCAGTATCGGGAGCAGCTACGTGCGGATGGTGGTCGCCGGGTCGGTGAACACGACCACCACGTCTTCCCGGTGGACAATTGATCGAGCTGGGACCATCCTAGCCTCTATGTTAATCTGGGAATCAAACGCACACAAGTCCTGTAGTCCGTCCGAATGAATCCTACACTCTTAGAAAAAAGGGTATGGATAGTCCTCCCTTAGGGGAGGAGCGGTCTTGTAATCTATGTTCCTTTAGAAAGGGAGACTTTCGTCCCTGAAGCAGGAAAGCAAGGTTCCTCCTTCGCTTGCATCTCAATATGGTGGCCCCGAATCCAGCAAATCGCGTCCAATAAGGCTTGACGAGGACGCTACGTCACTTGTACGGGATGAGAGGAGCAACAAAAAAAGCGTAACACGAGCTTTCCGCAAACTGTGTTTATTTCCGAAGCCAGATTCCCCCCACAGGTACAGAAACTTGCGTTTCGAAAGCAGTTACTCAATCTTTTCGTCGACAGTACTGCGATTTTACACGGAGACAACCGATACCCAGTTACTTCGCGCGCTTTGCGTCTTACCTTTGGTGTTCCTCAAGTCACAATTCCTTCGTCAACCGCACATCACGGAGAAGGGCAAACTTAATCCGCAAAACCAAAAGCCGCCCTCGAAAGAACAAACTCGAAGCCGCTGTTTAGCGCGTAGCGTGAAAGAAGGTTTAATCGCTAGCCACCAGATGGCGGGGTCAAGGAGAGCAATCGCAAGTAGCTAGGCTAGGTGGCGCTAGGTACCGCCCAATTGATGTTCTACAAAAAATAATTTGCTTTTCTCAGGCCACTACTACTCCGCTTGGGGATCCTCTACTATACACACATCACGCTTATGACAAGCATCAGTTGAACATACATTGAGCACATGCACGGCACACACAATGTCAACACAACGGAACACCACACCAACCCGAACACTACACCCGTGCTCTGCGTTTCCGTCTTTTTTACTGATCGTTTTGAACGTACGGAGCTTTTCGGTGACTCCCTAAACAATAAAAAATATTCCCAGCATGTTGATTTTTTCCCAGCAATGTCATACCTCTGAGAGTATTTTGAATGGCTCAGGGGATGAATCTCTTATTAAAAAGTAAACGCTTGATCATGCCGTAATTATTTGAAAGCCCATAAATCAAGTCGCTCCAATGCGGTTCGAGGCCATGAGTTTGTTTCCCCACACGGCACGTCGTAGCCTGTATTTCTATTGGTTTGCTGCTCGCGCAAAGCTGCAATTGCCATCTTGAATTAATTTCTCTAGAGCGGATATTCCCTCAGCTGGAAGTGATGCTTCACGGGCTGAGAAATCGCTTTTCGATCAACTTGAATGCAGTCAGAGCCGCGACTTGCGGCAGGTGTTAAGTGTACGGAGCTACGCCGTGGCGAGCCCGAAAACTTCTTGCGCTCATCCCAGCGCGCCACTTGGAGAGCAGTTTCTCCAGGTACCGTAGTATATTTAAACAGCAAAATAAAGGGTAGCTTTTTTTTCTCGATTTTATCTACTATTGCTTTTTTATGCCGAAATACCATACTGCAAATATACGTACTTTCCGTCACGATTTCGTACTGTTCAGTCCTTGCCCCACAGCGCAATCGCTCTCGGGGACGAGACAATGCCGACAGTCACATTGGCCACTGTACGATAGGAGCTTCTACTGTTCAGACCAGCGGTCCAACATGACT